AGCACTTTCTTTCAAGATAAGATCCAATCTTCCTATTCCAATCCTAAAAAACTATTTTCCATCTTCTCCTCCCTCTTGGACCCTCCAAAAGCTCCTCCCCCCTCCTCACTTCTGTCAAGCGACTTTGTTACCCACTTTGAAAAAAAGGTTAATGATATTCGCTCTTCTTTTTCTGACTCACCTTTACTCACCGCTGGGTCACCAGACCTTCCTTCCACCAACACACTAACCTCCTTTTCCCCTCTCTCTCCAAGTGAGGTTATTACCCTCATTACCTCTGCCCGCCCTACCACCTGTCCTCTGGACCCTATCCCTTCAAACCTCCTTCAGACTATCGCTCCTGATATTCTACCGTTTCTCACCCATTTCATCAACACTTCTCTAACTTCTGGTCACTTTCCAAACAGTCTCAAGGAGGCAAGAGTAAACCCTCTCCTAAAGAAACCCACTCTCAACCCGTCTGATGTTATAAACTACAGGCCTGTCTCTCTCCTCCCGTTCCTGTCTAAATCACTTGAACGCGCTGTCTTTAAACAACTCTCCTGTTATCTCAATCAGAACAACCTTCTGGATCCGCACCAGTCTGGTTTCAAGGCAGGTCACTCCACAGAAACTGCTCTCATTGCTGTCACGGAGGAACTGCACACTGCCAAAACTGCATCCTTCTCCTCTGTCATCATCCTGTTGGACCTGTCTGCTGCATTCGACACGGTGAATCATCAGATCCTCCTTCGCACTCTCCAAAAACTTGGAGTTTCAGGCTCTGCACTTTCCCTCCTCATCTCATACCTGAAAGACCGTACCTACAGGGTGACTTGGAGAGGGTCTGAGTCCGACCCTTGTCAATTAACTACGGGGGTCCCTCAGGGCTCTGTTCTTGGTCCCCTCCTCTTCTCCCTGTACACAAACTCGCTCGGATCAGTCATTAGCCCGCATGGTTTTTCTTACCACTGCTACGCTGACGACACCCAATTAATTCTGTCCTTTCCCCGCTCAGAGACCCTGGTCGTCGCACGCATCTCTGCTTGTCTAGCTGACATCTCTCAGTGGATGTCTGCTCACCACCTCAAGCTCAACCTTGACAAGACTGAGCTGCTCTTCCTCCCGGGAAAAGATTGTCCAACTCTTGACCTGACAATCAACATCGGCACCTCAGTTGTTTCCCCGACTCAGACTGCAAGGAATCTGGGTGTGACCCTAGATAACAACCTGTCCTTCACTGCAAACATCGCTGCTACAACCCGTTGCTGCAGATACACGCTTTACAACATCAGGAAGATACGTCCCGAGCTGACTCAGAAAGCGACTCAGGTTCTGGTCCAGGTTCTCGTCATCTCACACCTAGACTACTGCAACGCCCTCCTGGCTGGTCTACCTGCATGTGCCATCCGACCTCTTCAGCTCATCCAGAATGCAGCGGCTCGTCTGGTCTTCAACCTTCCTAAATGTTCCCACACCACTCCGCTCCTCCGCTCCCTTCACTGGCTTCCGGTAACTGCTAGAATCCACTTCAAGACACTGGTACTTGCTTACCATGCTGCGAATGGATCTGGCCCTTCCTACATCCAGGACATGGTTAAACCGTACACCCCAGCGCGTGCACTACGCTCTGCATCAGCCAAACGACTCGTTGCGCCCTCGCTGCGAGGGGGACCCAAGTTCCCATCGGCGAAAACACGTGGGTTTGCTGTCCTGGCTCCAAGATGGTGGAATGAGCTCCCCATTGACATCAGGACGGCAGATAGCTTGCACATCTTCCGGCGCAAACTGAAAACTCATCTCTTTCGACTCCACTTCGAGCGTTAGAACTATTAACGAAGCACTTTTATACTAATAAAGGACTGGCTTTTCTAAAGCCAGTTGAGTAGCACTTGAAATGTTTGGCTCTATGAAACCTGATGTACTTATATGATTCTGTTTTCTTCAAGGTTGTGTCTTCCTGGTTGAATGTACTTATTGTAAGTCGCTTTGGATAAAAGCGTCAGCTAAATGCAGTGTGTGTGTGTGTGTGTGTGTGTGTGTGTGTGTGTGTGTGTGTGTGTGTGTGTGTGTGTGTGTGTGTGTGTGTGTGTGTGTGTGTGTGTGTGTGTGTGTGTGTGTGTGTGTGTGTGTGTGTGTGTGTGTGTGTGTGTGTGTGTGCTCATCATAAATCCTGAGTGGTGAAAGCTCTGCAGATAACAGATGTTTCTCCGATATATTTCTCACCTGTAATCGATGTTTTCTCGCTGCAGGTGTGTGTGTGTAGTCGTCGTGTGTCGTTGCATTTCACGTGAGCGTCCACCGTGTTGTTGAGACAGATTAGAGCGGCGCTGTTTGGCTGCCATAGATCCACCTGAAGGACACACACGCACACACACACACACACACACACACACACACACACACACACACACACACACACACACACACACACATAAAACACACATCAGCTGATTAAAATAAGGGTCGTTAAAGTCTAATATCTTAATGATGTTTTCTAACAGGTGGGTCACATGAGGTGGAAGGTTACTGAGACAGTGTGTGTTTAAAGACTTTGACAGACATGAACTACTTACTTCTTATTTGACCTCTTCCTGTTTTATTTACACTGTTATTCACATTTTAAACTTTAACTCGCAGCGGCTAAAGTCGATCTTATCTTAAATGTGAAGGTTTTGACACTGGAGGTACAAAGCATGTAGATATGTTATCGTAGTATAACATCTACTCATAGTGTAGAAGAAGTCCTTTATTACGAACTAAACAAACACCTCATCATTTATTCGTGGAGTATATTTGATGTTGTTTATCAGGTTCTTTCAAGTTCAAACAGTTGTGGTGCATTAAAAGGACAGTGTCTGAAATGTAAAGTCAAATACACAAAGACTCACAAAAGTATATTTAAATACAGTCCTTGAGTTCATGGATGTTCCACCAGCTCTAGCAAAGACTAAAGAGCACGTGTTTTAAGGAAGTATTGACTTTATTACAGCCAGGTGTTTAAAACAGAGTTGTTGCTGATGAACAAACTGTGTGTGTGTGCGTGTGTGTGCATGTGTATGTGCGTGTGTGTGTGCATGCGTGCATGTGTGTGTGCGTGTGTGTGATTAACATCCTGCAGAGACTCATGAATAAAGTCTCAGGTTCCTGCCTCTCCGTTATCTGTGCGGCGCTCTGTTAGCTTTAGCTCCCCGCCATGCAAACACAGACATCATGTGGTGGCTGATGAAATAACAAATGATACACACATTCAGTGTGTGTGTGTGTGTGTGTGTGTGTGTGTGTGTGTGTGTGTGTGTGTGTGTGTGTGTGTGTGTGTGTGTGTGTGTGTGTGTGTGTGTGTGTGTGTGTGTGTGTGTGTGTGTGTGTGTGTGTGTGTGTGTGTGTGTGTGTGTGTGTGTGTGTGTGTGTGTGTGTGTGTGTGTGTGTGTGTGTGCGTGCGCGCGCTGAGCACAGCACACTGGCTTGTTAATGTGTCAAACGGTGTAATGGTGTACAGAGCGCATACCGGATTCATTTCACTGTTTTACAGGAAACACTCCGGCAGCAGAAAGCTCTCTAAAGTTTTGATAGCTGCACAAACAGATCCAACACACCTCGAAAAGCCTCAACATCCCTTTCATTTCACTCTTTAGCCGTATTTATGAGCCCTGAAGGCGCATTCTCTGCTCGAGTCTTTTGTGTCTGCGTCTTTGATCTGAGTCCTGCTTTGAGTGTGTGTATTTGAGTGTGTGTGTACAGAGCGGCTGTAAACTTAATCTGTGTTCTGTTGGTCCATGCACGGGTAGAACTAGAAAGACTAAGTTATAGTTCAATAAAAGAGAGCTGGCTTTGCTCAGATGTGGTTTTAAAGCCATAAATACATCCAAAGTCAAGTCAGAGAAAAAGCACATTGGATAAATACCAGCAGCTGTTTTCAGATAAAGGAAGTTCTGGAGCTTCTTATCTCTCTCAGTGAATATAAATGTCTGCAGCGAGTTAGCTTTAAGAATACATGGTTTGCAGCGTGTGTGTGATCCCATCATACAAACAGTCCTCTGTGTTTCTGAAAGTGAAACAACGTGCACAGGAAGGGCCCCGGGGCTGATGGGTAATCACTCCCAAATGAGTTTAGGGGAACAGAGACGAGGCATCTGAGTCCTGAAGGGTTTCCCCGTTAATATCAGTGTCTCCAAAACACATGTTGGCGACTGAAAGACATGCAGACTTTGTGATGAAGAGTTTGGTCTTTGCTACATCCTGAAGCATCCTTATGACTTTAAGAGGACCACAAACACACACAAAATATAATAACATGTTGAGATTTCTGACATTTTCAACACCAAACATGTCCTTAATGTCTCTGTTTACAAAACTACAGCAATCTGAAAGGCTGTAGATTATTTAGAACACACTTTATCTCTAAAAACATGCAGGAAACGACTTTTTATGGCAGTATTTTCTGATTTATGGAGCGACACAGATCTCCCTCTGTGAAACCTTTGATTCTAATATGTCAACAACATGAAACAAGGATATGAACCTGCTTCATCCAGTGTTCACACAAGAGTCCTGGCTTTCCTACATCCTGAAACATCTACAGTGTCTCAACTGAAAGAGGACCACACACTAAAGATATAATCAAATGTTGTGATTTTGGGATATTTAGCTCTCATTCTTTTACTTTTTATGACATTTTCAACACCAAACATATCCTGAATGTCTCCGTTTACTAAACTACAGCAATCTGAAAGCCTGTAGATGAATTATATCACACTTTATGACTAAAAACATACAGGACATTATTTTCTGATTTACTGTATGGAGCGACACAAAGATCTCCTTCTGAGAAACCTTTGATTAATATGTCAACAACATGAAACAAGGATATTAACCTGGCTTTATCCGATGGTCACATTAAGTACTCAAAACATACATTTACTAAAATAACACCTCATTTGCATATTACACATGTCTGGTGTGTGTTTCCGTACCTGCATGTGTCCCAGGATGCTTTGCAGCAGCTTCACCTCCCTCTGTTCTCTCGGGGTGATCCTGAACACCTGATCCCTACAACACACACACACACACACACACACACACACACACACACACACACACACACACACACACACACACACGCACACGCACACGCACACGCACACACACACCTGAGGGTTTGCACAGTAACAGATCCCTTCAAACACACCTGGTCTCTCAGGTGATGACAGGGTCGGACGTTAAAGGGTTTCATTTCAGCGTCTGCAGCTCAGCGGGGAAACACCTGGAGGTTTTATTCACTGTTACAGTAGCTGCAGCTGCTCCACAGGTTTATTCTGTGAATGCATGAACAATATACTGATGTGGAAAACATCTGAACATATAAAGAAGAAATCAGATATTCTAACGAGTTTCAGAGGCCAGGAAGTGTGATGTTTCTATGGTAACGTGAGGAGAAACTTCACACAGAGTTTGGATTAAAGTGTGGGAAGTGGTGGGAGAAAAGGGGTTAGAAGATTTGTAAATGGTCCTCAACGTATATCATTTTTAGGCAATAAAAGGGGGTTAGTTTGAGGTCAGAGTAGAAAGACATGAGAAAGACGCTGCAGCTTCAGAAAGGATGCAGATATAAAGACAGAAATCAAAACAAATGAAGAAATATTTTCAGAACAACAAATGCAGCATTTAGAAAACATTCAGCAACTTGAGGAGACATGGCAGCGTTTACTAAAAGCTGCAGAAAGCTTGCAAGAAGCTTCAGCTGGAGACCAGGGGACACTGAAGAGTGACGCACACAGCTGGAGACCAAGGGACACTGAAGAGTGACGCACACAGCTGGAGACCAGGGGACACTAAAGAGTGACGCACACAGCTGGATACCAGGGGACACTGAAGAGTGACGCACACAGCTGGATACCAGGGGACACTAAAGAGTGACACACACAGCTGGATACCAGGGGACACTGAAGAGTGATGCACACAGCTGGAGACCAGGGGACACTAAAGAGTGACGCACACAGCTGGACACCAGGGGACACTAAAGAGTGACGCACACAGCTGGATACCAGGGGACACTGAAGAGTGATGCACACAGCTGGAGACCAGGGGACACTAAAGAGTGACGCACACAGCTGGACACCAGGGGACACTAAAGAGTTACGCACACAGCTGGGAGACCAGGGGACACTAAAGAGTGACGCACACAGCTGGAGACCAGGGACACTAAACAGTGACGCACACAGCTGGAGACCAGGAGACACTAAAGAGTGACGCACACAGCTGGAGACCAGGGGACACTAAAGAGTGATGCACACAGCTGGAGACCAGGGGACACTAAAGAGTGACGCACACAGCTGGACACCAGGGGACACTAAAGAGTTACGCACACAGCTGGGAGACCAGGGGACACTAAAGAGTGACGCACACAGCTGGAGACCAGGGACACTAAACAGTGACGCACACAGCTGGAGACCAGGAGACACTAAAGAGTGACGCACACAGCTGGAGACCAGGGGACACTAAACTGTGACGCACACAGCTGGAGACCAGGGGACACTAAACTGTGACGCACACAGCTGGAGACCAGGGGACACTAAACTGTGACGCACACAGCTGGAAACCAGGGGACACTAAACAGTGACGCACACAGCTGGAGACCAGGGACACTAAACAGTGACGCACACAGCTGGAGACCAGGGGACACTAAACAGTGACGCACACAGCTGGAGACCAGGGGACAGTAAAGAGTGACGCACACAGCTGGGAGACCAGGGGACACTAAAGAGTGACGCACACAGCTGGGAGACCAGGGGACACTAAACTGTGACGCACACAGCTGGAAACCAGGGGACACTAAACAGTGACGCACACAGCTGGAGACCAGGGACACTAAACAGTGACGCACACAGCTGGAGACCAGGGGACACTAAACAGTGACGCACACAGCTGGAGACCAGGGGACACTAAACAGTGACGCACACAGCTGGAGACCAGGGGACACTAAAGAGTGACGCACACAGCTGGGAGACCAGGGGACACTAAAGAGTGACGCACACAGCTGGGAGACCAGGGGACACTAAACAGTGACGCACACAGCTGGAGACCAGGGGACACTAAACTGTGACGCACACAGTTGGAAACCAGGGGACACTAAACAGTGACGCACACAGCTGGAGACCAGGGACACTAAACAGTGACACACACAGCTGGAGACCAGGGGACACTAAAGAGTGACGCACACATCTGGAGACCAGGGGACACTAAAGAGTGACGCACACAGCTGGAGACCAGGGGACACTAAAGAGTGACGCACACAGCTGGAGACCAGGGGACACTAAAGAGTGACGCACACAGCTGGATACCAGGGGACACTGAAGAGTGATGCACACAGCTGGAGACCAGGGGACACTAAAGAGTGACGCACACAGCTGGATACCAGGGGACACTGAAGAGTGATGCACACAGCTGGAGACCAGGGGACACTAAAGAGTTACGCACACAGCTGGGAGACCAGGGGACACTAAAGAGTGACGCACACAGCTG